CCCAGGTTTTGAAAGGTAGATGTTCCCACTTCATTACAATTTCACCGTATTGAAATGAGCATGAAGTTCCACAACCCAGATTTACCCTGCAGGACCATTCACAAGGCACAGCATGACATGTGAAACGGGCCATAAAGCTGCAAAGCTTCACTTCAAGTTTCCATTACTTGCTATGCTAGTGCCTGTCTTAGGGAGGCTAGTGAAGAAACAGACAGTGCTTGACACCTGTACAGGTAAGTGTCCTTCTATAAAAAGTCAGCCACAAGTCTATTAGTAGCTGTTGACTTTAAATTTTTGGTGGAAGCCTGGAGCTCCTTGTTATGACGACATTGGTAGGACATGAATGCATTTTCAATATGTTGAATGTATTAATCTATGTTATGTTGAATTAAAGCACATTACATTTACATTCAGAAACAATAAATTTATTATAACAAGCTAAAATGTTTTCTTTATTCACTTTTTATGTGTCATTGAATACTTTTTATTATCAGCGAATTTCTAATAATCTTGCTCTTTTACTTCTTTGTTAATAAAATATCAGTTGTATGATAATTTTTTTTTTTTTTTTGGTTTTGAAAGGGCATTAACTAAAATTGTTAATGAAAAAACAGACAATTGGGATCAATATATTGATTATATTTTGTTTGGACTATACGCGGGAAGAAACAGTTTTCAACTAAGTATTCTCCTTTTTATCTAATGTATGGCAGGGAAGCACGATTCCCAATCGAAGTACCTCATGAATTTAATGTAAGTCACTACAACAGTTTTATTTTTCTTGTGTGAATTCTAAAAAAAAAAAAAAAAAAATTATAAACCAAATAAAAAACAAGGAAATGGCCACATTTTTAAAAGTATAACAAACTGGACACTTGTAATGAAAACTATTTAAAAAATAAATAAATAATCAACAGTATATCCTAGTTAAACATAGATTAATTTTTTTGGATTATCAAAGTTGAATATTTGTCCATAATTGTGTTTAGCAATGTTGATATTTAGACAGAATGTATCTGTTTATATGCTATTTTCCGGTAATATTAATGAAATCTTTACATTGGCATTAAGGCACATTATAATTTAATAGATGGTATACATTGCGGATCTGTTTCATAATGATGCACTTTAAAAAATCGGTGCCAATCACCTGCTGGACTTTTCTGCTCCATCTTAACCCTTACCAAGAAATTTACAACTTTGATGCCCCTGTCATTATCAGGTCTGTGTGCATCCATAAACACACACTATGTTGTGAAACAATGCCTGCATTGCCTCCTTACATAATATTTTATGCAGCAGTTCTCATCAAAACAAGAAGAGAACAAAACATTTTAGCAGCACGGGTAAAGCTGGATCGGTGACTGTATTCTGTTAGTTGTTTTTCGATAAGTGGAAGGGGTACAGATAGAAGCTTGTGTATTATACCTTAAAGTTATTGTAACAGTATTTAAAAATAATACATTGGTCATACTTACTTATTGTGTAATAGTAGTTCTCTTGGCATCAACAATCGTTTTTTCTGGGGTTCACTACAAGGGGTCCCCCCTCATCTGTGAGTGCTCACAGAGCAAGCCACTTGTTCTGGTGGAATTGTAATTTAGAAATGGAAAATATAAAGGAGGGCTATGGTGAATATAATTCAAGAAGTTAGTTTCAATAACGATGTAATACATTTTGTGATCACTACAATTCCAATTGACTGACCATTTTGTTTGCCTCATTAAATTATCAAATATTCCTTTTAAAAAATATGAAAACAGTGTGCTGATTGGTGCTGCACATTAAAATAGATGTGAATTTGCCATTTTACAGTTCTATTATGGCTTAATCCAAGTGAATACATATAGCTGTGCTGAGCTTTATAATAAACAATCATGTTGCATTTAATTATAGCAATGGCCATTTAACATCTTTTGAATTGGTATATATATATACATATATACACTGTATATATATGTTGAGGCAAACGATTTGGTAAAGTTATTTTTAAGTTAACAAAATAAAATAACAGCCAATAATGCCTTGGTTGACCATTTCAGCAATAGTGACGCACAAATAAATTTTCAAAGCACTAATATTTTTTGGTAAAATCATGTCCCCATACAGTATTTTATGACTTTAAAGTGCACTTTAAAGAAGACTTTTTTAGAGATATTGCTTTGACTATTTTATGGACCTCAGAACTGATTAATTGGTTTGCAGTGACTTCCTATAGGAAACTGCGGTTTGACTCACAAATAAAGTTATAATATGAGGTACGCCTGTGTGTTTATATGTGTGTATGTGTGTGTGTATACACATATATATGTATATATCTATAAAAAAATATATATATACATATATATATATATATATATATATATATATATATATTTATCTCTATATAGATATATCTATATCTCTATCTATCGCTCTCTCTCTCTCTATATATATATATATATATATATATATATATATATATATATATATATATAATATATATATTTATAGATATTATTGATATAGAGAGAGAGACACAGACATAGATATATGAATAAAGACAACTTTGCATGGTAGCCCAGTACACACACAAACACACACACATATAATAATAATGGGAATACTTAGTACTTTACACATTATAGGATACATCTAAATATAGTATATATTAATAATTTTATTTTTTCATAGCATGAAGAATATGATATTGAAGGATTGATACTGAATGAATCAATTCATGAGGGGATACATATAAGAGATTCCATTGATGACATTATTCGAATGAATGTTGAAAAAAAAATCAAGAGCAATCTAATTCTTAAAAAGAAAATAGATATTAAAAAAATGTTCAACAAAGGAGAAGAAATATTAGTTGAAAATGTACGAAGCAAACAAAGAAAAGGTGACAAATTAAAGGCGCTGTTCTTGGGTCCCTACAAGTTTATCGACGTTTGTGGAAAACAGGCCACAATAGAAGCTGATGATGGAAAAATTATAAAAGTTCACATCAATCATGTGCGTAAATTATCAACTAATTACACACAAGAACAAACAAGTCATGAAAACATGTCATCACCTGTGATTTCACCGAACATGTCCTGCTGCACACAATCAAATATTTCAACCACGGTTGCAAATGTTGACAAGACTGAAACTACAAAAACATGTACTCTGCTCTTGAACATAACAAACAGTGAGACTCCATTGCTTGACGATAAATACAAACCTGGTAAGTAAACTTTTTGTGAATTAAAAAATTACACCTCAATGATTACAGCTAATTACCTATAATTATTTAACAATCTCAATTGTTATCAAAATAGTTATGTATTATTTAGTATATTGATTAACAACAGAGCTAATACATTTTTGGATCCCCACAGAAATTTACCTGGCTTGGCAAAACAAAACTGGACACATTTTAAGATCAAAAATTGGACCGTATAAGATTTTTGATGATGATATACAAAGATTACAGCCAGGACTTGAGCTGGAAAGTGAGGTAGTGTATACACTGCAATGATATTAAATGTAAAAATAATCAATAATTAGAACTAAATGGAAAAAAGAAAAAAACTCAATGAAATGATAAATGTGAAAATATAATTTTTGGAGCAGTATAATATAGCTGATCATCAATTAATTCTCATATAACTTTGATTTGTATTGAAATCTGTAAATGTGTTTTTATGCATACTTTATAGTGATTAACAATGGTGCATTTCAGATTATAAACGCATACCTCCATATCATGGCAAGAAGAGCAATGCAGGAAAGACAAGAAAAGATTAAGATAATTGACACATATCTAATGACAAATATGTGGGAAGGAAAACACTACAAACCTTTTCGGGTATTTCAATGAGAATAAAAGCTTTACAATGTTATATTTCCAAATAATTTGTCACACAAATATTTCTGTTTTAATCCTTTGCAATAGATCTAATTATAGGAGAATATTATGGATTTCCAAATGCTAATTGGTTCCGTAAATGAAAGCCATCATTGGACCTTAATTGTGAGTATACCTATGAAGTGCAGGTTACTTAAATTAAAAAAACCTATGAAGCACTTATTCTTTTATTTTACCTGTATTATTCTATAGATTTGTGTGTGTTTACAATCTTTTGCACTAAAAAAGGTAGACACTACATACTAACCCAGAAGTAAACATTAAAGATACTTCCACTAACACAATCAATGTGAAAATTGAAATAAATTGTTTATAATATCACAGCGTCTGGACACTTATATAATTGTTATAACATATTTTTGGCTTCATCACATGCCCTTTTTTACAGACCAAAAAACGGGTAGGAAATGTCTGTGCATGTTATGTTGCGAATATGTAGTGGATGGCCTAGTATTACCCCCATTGCAGCAGCCATGTTCTAATACCGTGCCAGAGGATTGGCTACTGTATGCATCAGAACATGCAGCTCATTGCTACCTGTTCCTCGGTCCAGTGGTGTCCTCATTATTGCTGGTTTCACTTTCCGTCTTCTCTCCCTGGCGCAACAATCTTTATTGTCTGCACACGCCTATGACAGTTTGTGGATTGACAGCTGGGTATCCAATGCGTATGTCACATATCAGAGAAAACTACAGGGTGAGAGGCGATCCCAAAGTAAGTTGGAGAGAGTAACCGTAAAATTAGGATAACAATCCCCCCACCGCTCCCCAAAGGTCCGCAGTCTCTGGTCATCTCCTGTACTATGTCCACAGTCTCTGGTCATCCCCTGTGCTTTGTCCACAGTCTCTGTTCATCTCTTCTACTATATCTGCAGTCTCTGGTCATCTCCTGTACTGTCTCCGCAGTCTCTGGTCATCTCCTGTACTGTGTCCGCAGTCTCTGGTCATCTCCTGTACTGTGTCAGCAGTCTCTGGTCATCTCCTGTACTGTGTCCGCAGTCTCTGGTCATCTCCTGCACTGTGTCCGCAGTCTCTGGTCATCTCCTGTACTGTGTCCGCAGTCTCTGGTCATCTCTTCTACTATATCTGCAGTCTCTGGTCATCTCCTGTACTGTGTCCGCAGTCTCTGATCATCTCCTGTAGTATGTCTGCAGTCTCTGATCATCTCCTGTACTGTGTCCGCAGTCTCTGGTCATCTCCTGTACTGTGTCCGCAGTCTCTGGTCATCTCCTGTACTGTGTCCGCAGTCTCTGGTCATCTCCTGTACTGTGTCCGCAGTTCTCTGGTCATCTCCTGTACTGTGTCTGCAGTCTCTGGTCATCTCCTGTACTGTGTCCGCAGTCTCTGGTCATCTCCTGTACTATGTCTGCAGTCTCTGGTCATCCCCTGTACTGTGTCCGCAGTCTCTGGTCATCTCCTGTACTGTGTCCGCAGTCTCTGGTCATCTCCTGTACCGTGTCCGCAGTCTCTGACCATCTCCTGTACTATGTCTGCAGTCTCTGGTCATCTCCTGTACTATGTCCGCAAGTCTGAAGTCTCTGGTCATCTCCTGTACTATATCTGCAGTCCAGCGGTTCATAATATTTATTTTCGTGTTTTACTCCTCTAAAACATAAGTGCGTCTTATGTAGCCAAAACGACAGTAAAGACTGTTTACTTTATGATTACATGTTAAAGACAATATCACAATTCTAGTCTCAATAATCTTACAATAAATAAAAACATTAGAACATTTATAGCTGTTTGAATCCTATGCAGACAGCCCTCAGGGGTTCTCTTTCTTATTATTGTCAAAGTAAATGATCATGATGGTTGGTTGGCTATCACAGTTAAGCAGAAATAGGAAGGTATACAAAGGAATAAAAAATTAACGGATAAGATCGTCTTTGTGGACCTGTTACATGTTTCACACATTTGTATAGTGCAACATGTCACATTTTAAAAACAATGCAGCTGAGTAAACCTGCAGCACCCTCCCTCTGCCGTAAGTACAGTTAGAAGTTGCACGTACTGCAGCGCATCTCTGCAGGTCCGTCCATATGTCTGCATCATTCATTCACAGTGCTCTTGTAATATTTGAAAAAGTAAAACAGCACTGGGTACTGCTATGGTAGTTCATTGATTTCACATGCTAGTATATATCCTTGCCCTTACATCCCGCAAAAAAGCAAGCAAACATAATGACAGGTGTGCACAAGACCTGCATGACACCAGTGATCTGCTGATTGCTGTTAAAATGCTTTACAAAATGCTGCAGAAAAACATAGTACATGCAACTTTTTTTAATGGTGCCAAAAGGAACATGTATTAATTTTGTTAAAAATGTTACGTTAGTTGAAGATCATTTAATACTGACCTATGCAGATGAAGCATTTATCCAAAGCTGCAGCTTTCCCACGCCAGCTCCACAATGAGAACAGTGCAATCACAGAAAGAAGATATCTCTATTCTCCTTCTGCTTTAAGTTCAGAGACTGTCAGTCAACACTCTGACACCCCCCACTCTCATTGGAGTAAAAGAATGTGAAGGAGGTGTAGCAGCATATGATCTGCTTTAAACTATGAACACATCACTCACAAGTACAAACAACTTTAAAAATAGCATATGGCCAGGACCCAACATTCTTTTAAGGATAAAAGAGGAGGGTGAACTGGATCTGTGATGTCAACCAATAGCTGGATTTAGGCAAATTTCAACAGAACCATTGGCACAGGGGTGCCTAAAAAGTGCACTCCTGACGACAATAGAAGTATGTGCAAAGGAGATTTCTACATACTTCTCCTTTACAATTGTTCCATTGACTAATCAGATTGTGAAAGTTAGTAAATATTGGGCCTAAGGGTAAAGACAGGTGTCACAGATTAGGAATATTTTAGAAGAGTACACAAGTGATGGTTGAACATTTGCTTTTTTTAGGGCCAGCTGCAGCTGAACACATTTATTGTTAGTGACTGATAGCAATATTTTGTTATTTTTTTATCAACAGGTGATGTATCCTAATGAAAAAAAAAACATTATACCTAAATTCCCTGGGCGAGAGTGATTGGGCCATGCAGCAGTGTAGCAACGTATCAAGGTAAAAAAAAATATACTGAAATACTGTAAATATGTAAAGTAAAAGTTGACTTTTAAAAAAAAAAAAAAAACACATTTTCGTTATTTGAACCTTGACAAAAAAAAGGTTTAACATGCCATGCCAGCGTGTCCACCCTGCACATGTTGAATGCTCATTTTTGTCTCGGGTAGAAGAGAGCAGAGATCGAATTACGTAAACCACTGATCCTTCTAGCACAAGACTGCATCACTCCACCACTGCAACAGTCTTCATTAGTTTACTATTCCTGATGTAATGAAGACTGTTTGGGGCTCCGTAGACCATTAACAAGTACACTGCAGATTTGTGTGTAAATTACTTTTTCAGGGAGATAAAAGGATCACTTCTGTATATGGTTGTTTTGTATCGAAAAGACAAAACAAGCAGTTGACAACTTACACTGCATGTACACACCCACTGCATGGTAAAAGCTTGACATTTTTATGTTTTAGGTTCTTGTCCACAGTTGTGACGTAACGGACACTTTTCCAAAGGTGTTTTTGGTTTTAAGAAATATTAACTCTTGTACAAACAACAACGATAAGGTGGGGTTGCTGTGGTAGTTTAAGGAACTATTGTATTGCCTGACTATGCTTGCCAACCTGCTCATACACTGATAGAAATATTTCACAGAACCTCTATGAATGTAAGACAATTGAGTGATTGACAGATCAGCCCTATCAATTCACACATATTTTTAAAATATCAATACTACTTACCGTATATACTCGAGTATAAGCCGAGTTTTTCAGCCCATTTTTTGTGCTGAAAAAAACGGCGGCCCCTCGGCTTATACTCGAGTCAACGTCGAGTCAACGTTGCAGATGACATGCTGTCCCTGTCATCTGGACACCCCCCCGGGATCAATCCTGTCAGTGTGGGAGGAATAGTGCCCCATCGTTGGTGTTAGTGGGGGGGGGGATTACTGCCCCATCGTTTGTGTCAGTGGGGGGAGGAATAGTGCCCCATCGTTGGTGTCAGTGGGGGGAGGACGAGTGCCCCATCGTTGGTGTCAGTGGGGGGAGGGATAGTGCCCCATCGTTGGTGACCCCTGCTCCAGCCTGGGCTCGTTCGCTCCCTCCCTCTCCCATGGTACACACTTACCTGTCAGATGTCTTCCTTCTCCGGCCGCTTTCCTCCTCCTCACTCGCTCAATCTGCGGTGCCGCTCGGCTCCTCCTCTCGCCGGTGATTTGGGCGCCTGTGTGCCTCTCCTGAGCTACAGTTCCGGCGGCCAATCACCGGCGAGGAGGTGGAGCTTGGAGAGGAGGAGCCGAGCGGTACCGCGCAGATCGATCGAGGACAACGGCCGGAGAAGGAAGACATCTGACCGGTAAGTGTGTACCATGGGAGAGGGAAGGAGCGAATGAGCCCAGGCTGGAGCAGGGGTCTCCAACGATGGGGCACTATTCCTCCCCCCACTGACACCAACGATGGGGCACTCGTCCTCCCCCCACTGACACCAACGATGGGGCACTCGTCCTCCCCCCACTGACACCAACGATGGGGCACTATTCCTCCCCCCACTGACACCAACGATGGGGCACTATTCCTCCCCCCACTGACACCAATGATGGGGCACTATTCCTCCCCCCACTGACACCAATGATGGGGCACTATTCCTCCCCCCACTGACACAAACGATGGGGCAGTAATCCCCCCCTCACTAACACCAAACGATGGGGCACTATTCCTCCCACACTGACACCAATGATGGGGCACTATTCCTCCCACTAACACCAATGATGGGGCACTATTCCTCCCACACTGACACCAATGATGGGGCACTATTCCTCCCACACTGACACCAATGATGGGACACTATTCCTCCCACACTGACACCAATGATGGGATACTATTCCTCCCACACTGACACCAATGATGGGGCACTATTCCTCCCACACTGACACCAATGATGGGGCACTATTCCTCCTCCCCCCACTGACACCAACGATGGGGCACTATTCCTCCCCCCCACTGACACCAACGATGGGGCACTATTCCTCCCCCACTGACACCAATGAAGGGGCACTATTCCTCCCCCCACTGACACCAATGATGGGGCACTATTCCTCCCCCCACTGACACCAACGATGGGGCACTATTCCTACCCCCTCGGCTTATACTCGAGTCAATAGTTTTTCCCAGTTTTTTGTGGTAAAATTAGGTACCTCGGCTTATATTCGGGACGGCTTATACTCGAGTATATACGGTAGTAATGGCTTGTAAGAAATGAGTGAAGGGACATTTCAGAAGGGCATAGCTGGGCAATCTTAATTAGTTACTGGTCAAGGTACTTTAGTTCTTTGAAGCCAGACCACCAATAGAGTTTAAAGAGCTGGGGTTGGGAATAATTTAAGGAGAAATAGATTAGACGATTTATGACATAGTTCCACAAATGAAATGACATAAATCACTTTATTCAAGTAAAGTTCTATTTGATAACTTTTTTTACAAGTAAAAATGTATCAGTATTGTTAAATTGTTTCTGTGTTTTATTTTTTAGAGCTTGTTTCAGAAAAAATAATATCAACGTCTCCAAGATAAAATGTGAAAGTAAATCCCACCCAAACCAAATCGACAGCGTCTCCTGCGGTGTTTTTGTGTGCAAGGTATTATATTGAATAATAATAAAATATATTAATTTGGTTTCTTGTGAAAACTAAAGATAAAAATATATATATATATATATATATATATATAATATATATATGTTTTTTTTTTTTTTTATAATGTTCTTTAAAAAAATATGTAAGATTGTGATGGACATCTTTATTTTATTTAGTTTGCAGAGCACATAATCGGACATAGCGAAATCTCGTTTGAAAATTCTACAGCTAACATCAACGAACTTCGCTATGAAATAGCTAAAACTATTCTTAAAGAAAGAGGTATGTAATAATTGTTATTTTGATTACAAACTGTATCATTAAAAGTTTTGTTGAGATGGTGAGATGTTTACAGTTATATTTTAAATTATAAGACAACTATTATTGAGATAGATATAAACGCAACGGCCTCTTAATTTTGCACACCTTGCTAGTGGCAAGATAATATCACACACATTACACCGTGACCAACAACCAGACCCCAGGATACAAGGCAGGATGGAGCCATGCTTTCATGCTTCTTTTCTCCATTTACATCTCCCCCCTTGGCAAACTGATACACTCCCACGTCTTCACGTATCACCTCTGCAACGATGACACTTGAATTTACCTCTACACCCCTCGCCTCAATCCCGCAGTCTCCGCCCGCATCACCCACCTAGTAAACGAGATATCAGACTAGATGTTGCTCCATTTACGCAAACTTAACCTTTCCAAAACCAAGTTCCTAGTTTTCCCCCCAGCCCATGCCCCCCCCCCATCCTCTCCATCACGACCAAAAACAACACCATAACTCACACCCCGAAAGCTAAAGTCCTAGGTGTCACCCTGGACTCTAAGCTATCATTCCTACCCTAAGTCCAATTGCTGTCAAATTCATGCAGGCTCCACCTCCGCAACATCTCCAAAATACGTACGTTCCTAACCCCAGACACTACTAAACAACTCGTTCACTCCCTT